TTATCTTTTATATCTCGTGCTTTCTCTGTCCCTGCTTCTGTTTTTTCTTTTTTTCATTTTTTCCTTTTTTTTGGGGTTGGTGGGAAGGGGGTTCTTATACCCTTTTTTGGAGATATTATGTCTCAGAAGACACTGACGCTAGGACTTTCGGGACTTCGATAGAATTCCGTGGGCATGTATCTAGCACACTTTTGAGTCTAGATACGGAAGGTATGAATACTTCGTTGCCTGATGGCTATGGATGGCCCTAGTAGCCTTTGGTTTATCCTAACATTGGATTTTTATTTATTTTTTTATTTTTTTTTGCTAACCTTGGATTGGAACGACACATATGGGATTAAGTAGTAATTTCTGCTATTTAAAAAAAATAAAAGCATGGCCCCCTGGGGCCAGGTCCCACTAGCAACGTGGATTGGATTGAACACATGAATCTAGACGTGTTCGTGGAAAAGTGCAGAAATCCGAGAGATTGAACAGTTTTTCAGCATCTCTGCCTAAAACACGCCCAGATTCAGGATCGTAATCCAATCCCCGTTGCTACCGGTAGTGTGACCATGCTCCTGTGCTCCTAAGGATGAGACGTCGCGACAAACTCTCTCTCTCTCTCTCTCCTCCCCGCCAAAAAGAAAAGAAAAAAAAAAGAAGGGTGTGACATTGTTAGGGAGGGCCTCTGTCGAACTAACTTCCTTTGTATTTCTATCTTTCCTGTTTTGGCCGATGACCTGCCCCGTATCTTTCTTGTTTTGGCCAATGACCCTGTTCGCCCATTTGCTTGAGGATAAGGCAACAAGAGGCGAGAACCCCCCAACCCACCCCCCCCCAAAAAAAAAGAAAAAAGAAAAAGAAGAGTTAAGCCGTAGAGGTGACGGATCTTGTCGGCGGATTATCGGTAGGTGGGGCTGACTGATCAAATTAAGGGTTCCAGTTCCCGGGGCAGGATTCAAATGTAGATAAGGGGATCTCGCCGCACGCACCACTCACCAAATGTACAGAAGACTGAAATTGTGGTGGTGTATCTATCCATGTTCATGGTGAAAATTCATCGTTGTTTTTGCACATGGTGAGTAGTGGGGCGACGCCCGTCCTACCCCATAACTCCAAAGCGGCAATTCGTCAGTCTGTTTACGATCTTCGGACAGATCAGTGAATCCAACCGGGAGGGGGGGAAGAGGGAGGGGAGAACAAGGGCAACATCGCCTATTTACAAGGCGCAGCGGCAAAAACAAATAATAATATTAAGTATTATTAACAAATCGACATAATAAATAAGAATAAATAAGAATAAGTAAGAATAAGAATAAAGGGGCAGCATGCATCGCCTACTATTCATCTGGCCGTTCCCTTCGGGAATGTGGCCTCGGGCTCTTTTTTTTTTTTTTTTTTTTGCAGTTTGTATCGTAAAATTGAAAAACTGAGGCCGGAAATGTGCACTCGTGTTTTTTTTTTTTTTAACCAGAACTTCGACCATTCCGTTATATGCTCGTGTTTTTTTCGTTTAGTGGTGTTGAAATTCCTAGATTCTGGCTGCTGCCCCTTTATTCTGATTCTTATTCTTAGTTGTTTTTATTTTCCTATTTTCTTATTATTTATTAATATTACTATTTGTTTTTGGGCCAGGTCCATCTTGTAACGACCTAGATGAGCACTCTTTTCTTTTCTATTCCCCCCCCCCCCCCNCCAACCCACAAGGATGGATTCACTGAGCTGTCCGAAGAACATAAACAGACTGACGGCCCTTTTCTCATTTTTTTCCCTCTGGCTTTTTTTTTTTTTTTTTTTTTCGTTTCCGCCTTAAAGAAGATCACATATAATTCCTCTGCGTTCATTTTGTATTGTTTGGCCGTTATTTTGACATTTGTTTTGCTGTCTGGGAGGGACTCTATGGACTCCATCACGTGCCAGTGGTGCGCATACGTAGTCTTGTCAGAGACCTATGGGTATAGCTATGGGTATAGCTGCTGCCGACATCCGTAGACGGAATTTCTGAGACGTATCTGAGTGCATTCGTGGCCAGGTGCATTTGAAAAAAGGACATGCAGTTGTAAAGAGATGACTGGGTCCCGCATTTGGCTAAAGAAGGGCCTCAAAACACCCCTGTCGAAATGAAAAAAGTGCGAGTGAATCTTTCCGCAGAGAATGACAAGATGCATCCGCTACTAGGAATAGCAACGGATGCATCCCGCCACTTTCTGCGGAAGATGCACTCATTTTCTTATTTCATTTCAGCCATCGTCTGGTGACGCCCCATGTGTACTGTCTGGGAACCTTTCTTTTTTCCAGTTCTTTTTTTTTTTTTTTTTTTTTTCCAGAGGCCATTACTCACACCAGGAGTTTTTCAACTTCTTTATGTACTATGCACGTATTCGCCGCCAGGTGCATCAGGGCAGGGTTGGAAACTCGGTTATATACATGCAGCAAAGCCCTGCTGTGAGTATGCACGGAGCGTTCGTAGAATGCCCCAGGTTGCCCCGAAAAATAACCGAAAACCGATAATCTTAGGGCCAGCAGGATTTTCTGGAGCAGAGTGAGGGGAAGTGGTTAGGTTGGGGAGGAGGAGGAGGAGGAGCAGCAAGAGGAGGACTTTTATGTTTTATTGGGTCGAGGGTTGGAAGTTTTTCCTGTAAAAAAGTGATTGAGTGTTTTTTTTTGTGATCGAGTTCTTGTTGAAATGGCAAGGACATTCTTGTGGGGAAAGAAAATAAATAAATAAAATTTGGTGATCAAATTCTTCAATCTTTTGGTTCAAAGGACGAAAACAGCCCCCGTGGGCCTAGGGGGGCGGGCGCACCCCCCTTGGTTGTACGTATTTGCCCTGTCTCTTATACACATCTAGATGTGTATAAGAGACAGGGACATTCTTGTGGGGAAAGAAAATAAATAAATAAAATTTGGTGATCAAATTCTTCAATCTTTTGGTTCAAAGGACGAAAACAGCCCCCGTGGGCCTAGGGGGGCGGGCGCACCCCCCTTGGTTGTACGTATTTGCCTGTGCTTGGGAAGGCATGAACGTGGCCGTAATAACGGACAGGCGTGTGCTGTCAATAGCAATAGCAGAAACATTTTGCCCCTTTTGTGACGGACGGCCCTTGGGGTGATATGTCTGCTCGCTTAGGGTTCCGATTATCCGGATAGCAGCCCTCAAGTCGTCCTGTTTTTTTTTTTTTTCTTTTCTTTTTTTTTGCAAAAACGGGGACAGTGGCCAAGTCTAGATTATAACACCACGAGAAAAAGGGCCCAGCGTCCCTCTTCTCCCTCTTCTGGGCAGGGGCGTGGTCCCACTCGCAAAGAGGATCGGACGGAATGCCTGAATCTGGACGTAGTTGTGGACAGGTGCAGGAAATGGAGATTGAACTGCTTTTCTGCACCTCTGCATAAAACACATCCAGATTCAGGAGCTTCATCCTATACTCTTTGCTAGTGGGACCTCGGCCCTGATGAGCTGGTGAAAACTCGGACGGAACAGTTTTTCGCTTGTTGTCCTCTTCTCCCTCTCTGCATGCGGTTTACACGGCAGATCTGGTACGCGATATCTTCTCTCTCTCTGCCTACGGTTTTACCGGGCAGTTCTGTTTGTGACGATATATACTACGACTTCGCTAGCTTCCTGCTACGGTTTTTTCCTGTCAGGTCGAGCGGCAGTGGTCGGGGCCGTTACTAGTCGGCCATGCTGTGCCTCTAGTGCCAGCGGCGTGTCTGGAGTGTATTTTTTGGCTGTGACAGACCTTTCTTTGTTTCGTGGATGTTTTGCTTGGTTGTTGCTTGTGATGGGGTGTGAACCGACAGTCTGTAGAGTTTTCCATCTGGTGTGGGTGAGTGATAGTCTACTTCGATTTTGGTTAAGGTGGATTAAAACTTACAGTGTAATCAGTGAGGGGATTCTACAGACTGTTGAGGGTTCAGCCTCCTGATGAGTCGGTGAAACTCCGACGAAACAGTTTGTCACAGCCCCTCGTTTGTTGTCCTCTTCTCCCTCTCTGCCTACGGTTTACCGGGCAGTTCTATTTGACGATATATATATGCTTTTATATATAATATTATGTATACATGTATATATATAAATCGTTAAATAGAGAGAGGTAGGTGTCTTGTAAACCGACGGCAGAGAGGGAGAAGAGGACACATATATAACTCCGACGAAACAGTTTGTCAAAGCCCCTTCCTCGTTTGTTGTCCTCTTCTCCCTCTCTGCCTACTGTTTACCTGGCAGCTTTGTTTGACCATATATTTGTTTTTCTCTTCCTTGTTTTTTTTTTTGTTTTCCTTTCTATAAACCACCACTACGCTTCCGGCTGTTGGCAGAACGGGAAAATAGCCTCCCCTCCTAAATAATTGGGGCCTGCGCCTGACGACGGCCGCCGTTGATAAATCTCATTGGCATCGGCAGCCGTTGATTCATTTCGGCCCGCCTGAAAGATTGGAGGCTCACCTGAGGCCCGCATGGGAAAACGTAGTGGTGCTTTAATAGCTAATAAACTCTCAAAGGCCAACCAGTTAAATCGCCTGTCGAATTTGACACAGGGAAGTCTTGCGGGCCTTCTTTCTATTATCATTCTGGAGTACCATTAATTGCCTGTAATAGTTCTTGTTGTGCATATGCATAATTGCCTATTGTATAGTTATGGATATTATGTGATAAGTATCTATAGCACGGTTCTGGATAATACAGTTATGGATAATATAAGTAAGAAAAATATAGTGATGGATAATATAATTAATTATCATTATTATGGAAAATATTTATTGTTGTGAGTATTTCTGACCCGGTGCAGTGTCTGGATTGCGGTGATCTCGGCGCTGGGGGTGCTATGAGAAGTTCATTGAACCTGACCCTTATCATATAGAGGAAGGAGGTCGTAACAAATAAAAAATAGGAGCATTAAAAAAATCGCTTTCCGTAGGTGAACTTGCGGAAGGAGCATTAAAAAAAAAAAAAAAAAAAAAAATCTGACCCTGTGGCGGTGGGATGTGTGCTGCGGCGGTGTGCGACTTTTGCGATCCAGGGGAGTGACACGGGCATGATGTCGCCCGGTATTTCTGCCAGCGCGTCTTCCTTGGGGTTGACGTCGTCCGATGATCTGCTTGCCGACTGGGGGGAGCCGAGGCTGGGAAACGTCCTCACGTCTAATAAGGCGGGAATGGGTCTGTCGTCGTACTACTCGAGAACGGCCCCATCATCGCCAACGGCAGCTTTGTCGCCATGCTCATCGCCGTCGGCATCGAGGCTAGAGATCAACCGACCACCTCCGCTTCAACGAGTACTCTTGCAGCAGCAGCTGCAGATCGCCCAGCAGCAGCAGCAGCAGCAGCAGCAGTTTGTGCAGGGAAGGGATTTCGGCGCGTCATCGTCACCACTGGTTCATCCGAAAAACTATATCTGGAAGACTCGTCCGGCCTTGCCGCAGAATGTGCAAGTGATGAGTGGTGGTCCCAACGGGCAGCAAACACAGATGATGCCTGCGAAGATGCTGCAAAGGTCCGTGTCAGCGCCGTTTCCATCGTCGGTGAAAGAGCAGGGAGTGGCTGCGGTTATGGCGGCGGCGCTTTCTCCTCATCACCACCTGCAGCAGCAGCAGCAGCACCAGCAGCAGATGACCCTACTCTCCCCTCAGCAGACTACGGTCTTCGGAAAACAACAACAACAGCAGCAGCAGCAGCAGCAGCAGCAGCGGAGGAACTGGGGAGCCTCCTCCAGAGGCGGAGTAGGATTAGTGAAGGATGACGAAAAGAGACAAGTCTCTGGCGGAAATAATAATCAGGTAAGGGATGAACGCCCTCCCTTTTTCTTTCTTTTTTCGCAATCGATCGGGATGTATACTATGCTTGATCTTGGCCAAATGTATGAGAAAGGGATTCGTAAGGCCTGCCTTAAAATACATCCGACCGAAGAAAATTCGACTAGAAAAAAAGAGTTGTGAAGATATGGTGACGCTTCTGCCGTGTGCTCCTGTTTCTACATCCTTGCTGTTTCTACTTCGGTGTTGCTGGGTTCTCCTTTTCGCCCTCTCTCAAAACTTCTCTGCCTTTTGCAGCTGCCCTTCTCTTGTTCTTTTTTCCTTTTTTTCCCTTGATGTGTGGCCGTTGTCTTTTTTTTTTTTTTTTTTTTTTAATGTGGGTATGCGGCTGCCTCTGCCTGTTCCCCTTTTCGTCCTCTGTCAAACTTCTCGGCCTTTTGCAGCTGCCCTTCTCTTTTTTTTTTTTTTCCCCTTGATGTGTGGCCCTTCTCTTTTTTTTTTTTATGTGGGTATGTGACTGCCTCTGCCTGTTCGCCTGTTGATGCAAATTGGCTGCTGAAAAAGACCAGTACCTAGAATGCATGCTGTAAAGAACACCGGCGAGGTCCCACCAGCAAAAGAGGCCTGAATCTGGACGCATTTGGGCGGAAAGGTGCAGAATATAGACATGTTGAACTGGTTTTCTGCATCTCTGCTTAAAACATATATCCAGATTCATGTGCTTCAATCCATTCCCGTTTGCTAGTGGGACCGCAGCCCAGGATTCTACGAGGAGGCCTGGCTGAGTTTGTCCACGCATGAACTGCTGCTGATATACTGACCCGAGTTCGAATCGAAATGCAATCAAATGAGTAGAGTAGTTTATGCTGGGTTACCTGAGGCCGGTCAGTTGATTTACAAGACCGTGGCCCTCGAAGAAAAGAATGAGAATAGCCAAAACAAAAAAACAAAAAAAAACAAAAAACAAAAATCCGAGTAAAAACTATGTTATGCAGAAAATCATTCAAAAATGGACTGAACAACTTCTGCCTCAGGGTCACATCGAAATTAATTACCAGATTTGAAATAAAAAGTGAAGTTAAAATTTTTATTTTTTATTTTTTCTTTTCTTTATTGCTTTTTGGGCCGGCCGGGAAAGTGGCCCCGGGTCACTCTGGTAGCCTAGATGAGATTCCATTTTGAGGAAGTGTCTCTCGGTCATAAAACCTATGTGCTACGGGTGGTAGTAAGGTTCTAAGGGTGAGTTTCCCCTCTCCCCGACTCTCTCTCTCTCTCGCTCTCCCCTGATCCGTGTGTCTGTGTTTGAATCACCTCTCTTTGTGACTTTGTGATTTCTTAACAGAGTCGATTCCAGAACAGAGGCAATCTGACTCCGGCGGGATGGGCAAGAAGCCAACGACAGCAGCAGGCACAGCAGGGGCAGCCTGGAAGAGCTGTAGGAGGCCAGAGGGGGTCTTCGGGTCACCGTTCTCCGAGGGCAATGGAGGGCAACGTCACCCCGCAGCAATGGGCAGGTAGTCCCACGCCAATCAGCAACGGCTTGCGTGCCGTCTTCTTGCCGGGGGCAGGAAGCTGTGGGCGAGAATCTGGAGGAACGGGCGTTTTCCTTCCCAGATGTCCTACCAATAATGGGAACGAGTTTCGACGGAAGAATAGCAAGACCAATCAGCGCGGTGTGCTAAACGACAGCACCTCTCGTAAGTGTCTCTCTCTTTTCCTCCTCCGCTGTTGCACTTCATTCCCACCTTTCAACTCTCCCAGTCCTGGTGTTCATGTCCACTCACCCTTCATCTGCCCGTGGTCC